CCTCCTCCTCCTCCTCCTCCTCCTCCTCCTCCTCCTCCCCCGCCGGGAGCGGGCGGCCCCGCCCTGGTTCTGGCGAGGCTCTTGCTCTTGCACCGTCGGGCTGCCTGCTGCGGATCAGAGACTGCTCGGCGTGCCGCGGCTGCGGCCCCGGCGGCACGCTGTGCGCTGCAAGCGCATCGCAGGTCGCTCCGCTCTGCGGGGCGGGAGGCTCAGGAAGGCTTTGGACATAGCCGCTCGGGGACTGGGACGTGACCAGCGCGCGTCGCGCCGAAGCGTGGTGGGCCAGAGTCGGCGGCGCGACACGCTAGGCACAAGTTTCTGGCCGTGAGCCCCAAGGGGAAGGGGGGATTGATGGATCACGCCGCGAAGAAGAAAAGGATGGGGCAGGGAGAAGGAAGGACGCGACAAGGCCACCAGCTCGCCGGCAGAGGGCACAAATGGCTCAGTAGGGGGCGCGACATGCCACCCACCGCGCCAGGATCGCCTGTCGCTAACCTCCCAGCCCCAGCCTCAGCAGGAGGGGCAGGGGAGGAGGAGGAGGAGGAGGAGGAGGAGGAGGAGGAGGAGGAGGAGGAGGAGGAGGAGGCGGAGGAGGAGGAGGAGGAGGAGGAGGAGGATGAGGAGGAGGAGGCGGGGGGAGGCGGATGAAGAGGAGAAGGAGGAGGAGGAAGAGAAGGAGGAGGAGGAGGAGCGACCGTGGCCTCTGGGGGCGGTTCGGAGATTCTCGGCCGCGAGCAGCGCTGGCCACGCCGCCAAACGAAGCGCAACAACTCGCTCGCTCGCTCAGCCCCATCGCCGCTACTGGTGACGGGTGGCGGGGGCGCGGGGGCAGCTGCGCGCAAAGCTGCATGTGTGTCCGTTTCGAGGACAGCGACCAAGAAGAGTCACGGTCGGGCGGCAGGGAGCCGGGATCGCGCAAGGATGACGGCGGTCGGGGAGGAGCGGGGGGGAGGGGGGGAGGCTGCTGTCCTGGCCGCGGGAGGAGGAGGAGGAGGAGGAAGAATAATCACAAGAACAAGAAGACGAGGACAGGAGGGAAGAATTGGAAGAGGGGCAGGACTGAAGATCGAGGCCACGCTAGCCTGCCACCGACACCTCGTTCTGTGAGTACTTGGCCCCACCAGGGCCCCGACTCTGCCCGAACTCGGCGCGCTCCCGCGACGGAACGCCGACCACATCATTTCCCATGCTGGCGTATGTCGTCCAGCATTTCGGCCAGCGCCCATGAAACACTAAGCAGCCAGCGGGCACGCAAGTCCGAGCGAATCTACGCATCCGCGCACACGCACCTGCGCTCGGGTGCGCGAGCCTCCCCCGGGGACAACGCGGCGCCCAGAAGACCTTAGCGCCCCGCCGACCCGCCCGTGGGGACAGAGCGCGCTCAGCGGCGAGCCCCACTCGCGCGCTGCGGGCTGTGCAGTGCCGTGCAGGCGGCTTCAGCCAGCAGCCGTTCTTGCAAAGTATGTGGGCCGCTGCAGACATCCTGGACCCAAACTCGTTAAATTCCCCCGAGTCTCGCTGGCAAGATTCACGCCCAAACAGCTGCTGTCGATCACGTGAGAGGTGAGAACCGGCGAACACCAGGCATCTTGAATTAGCGTACCGCCCTTGCTGAAAAGAACGCGATTCGCGCGCAGTAGAAATTTGTGCGATTAGCGTGCGCGCATTCCTGCCACTGCCCGAGGTCAGGGTGCACGTGCCGTAGACCAGTGCTGGCAGTCACGCTGTTGTCGCGTCGGTTGCCCAACCGACTCATGGCCTCTCCCCAAACTCGGGCCCCTGCCCAGTCCCAGGGTGCCCTTAGACGAGAACCCCTGGGGGAATCGCACCGAGGCCCACTCAAATGCTAAGACCGTCGAAGTCCTCGTCAACATTACGCGGCCTCCTAGATGGGATCGGAGTAGATGGGGTCGAGGGATCGCGCCGCATCGCCGATGCATCGGCGACGTCGGCGATGCATCGGCGACGCGGCGCGATCCTCCGACCCCATCTGCCCCGACCCCATCTAGGAGGCCCGGGAGGAGGCCCCCTCAGATGCTAAACGCGACAAGGTCCTCGTCAATATTGACGTCGTCGTTTTCGTCTCGTCGTCGTCGTCGTGCCCAACCCGCCTCGACGCAGACAACGCCGCACTCGGGCCCGCGGGGCAGCAGCCGGACAGCGGTGCCGCCGCGCAGCTCGCCCTCCACCACGAGCCCGCGGGTCCACGCCACGCCGCCCCTCGCACCGGAAAGCGCTCACAATCGTGCTGCAGCTCGGGGGGGCCGTGTCTGCCCCGTCGCGCCGCGACCCACGTCGAGTCCGCGCCGACTCCGTGTGGAATCCGCGTCGAGTCCGCGTCGAATCCAGGTCGAGGCCGCGCCGAATCCGTGTCGAATCCACGTCGAATCCGAGTCGAGCCCGCGTCGGAGTGCGAGGAAAGGCTGCCATTTACAAGGGCAGGAGAGGGTCCCCGAAGCTGCAGAGTGGCCACAGCACTTAAATTCAGCACCGAGCCGGGGGCCCAGGATTGCGCGGCACCGTCCGAACCCTACACCCTCCGAAATGCTTAAGAAATCACAGGTCAAGAAATTCATAGTCTCCGAATTTGAATAAAAACCCAGCATTTCGGTCGAAATCTTGGGATTTACATTGAAACCTTAAGAGCAAGCGAGACTCTGGCCGAAAACTGCAGTTTTCTTAAGCATCGCCTGGGGTGTACCGTCAGACAGCAGAGGAAGGACGCGCGGTGAGGCTGCGAGTGCCTTGGCGCCCCCTGGTGCGACCAAAGGCGACCTCTGGTGCGCGGGGCTCGGCGGGCGCAGGCGCGCAAGCCGCTGGCATCGCAGCGCGATCGGTGGTCGGGAGACCCCACTGGGCCCGCACCAAAGGCCACTCCGGCGAGAGGTCACCCGTACGTCGGGCATGTCCTCCTAGTGGCGGATGTTGGAAGACGCATGCAAACAGTGTGAACACATTCAGAAATAGTAGAACCATCGTCCCCAGACTACGTTTCGATTCTTGCTGGGTGTTCCTCCTGTAGCAGGACATGCCCGACTTAGCCGCACGTGTACCGCAGCCGAAAGGCTTTGGCCTGGCCGGAACCGGTATGGAACAGGGGATGTGTCGACCCCGATCCCAGGCTTCGAGAGGTTCTCGAATGGACCAAGAGAAAGGTCTGGGCCCAACCCTGGGATGTACACGAGGGGGGTGGGCGCCCATCCTCGACGAGGGGTGCGTCCGAGCAGCCACCCGGGGGCGCATCCCAGAGTTCCCCTCCTTCTCTCAGCTGCTCCCTTTGTCGTTGGAAAGTCGGGGGTCGGGGTAGAACCCTGGGCTCCGACGCAGCGGCAACCACTACAGCATCATAGCAATCATGCCAGCAGCCTCGGAAGGCCCCATCGCTCTTCGTCATGTCTCGAGCAGGATCGATCTGCGAGGGTCCCGGGGCCCGAAATAAAAACGAAACGTCGGGCTCGAACAAATGGAGGCGCCAGGACGTCAGGGAGCATCGCCGGCGCGCAGTTGCAGGATTAAGCCGGGCGTGTACCCCATACAGGGGGATCTCTGATGTAATATATAAAAATGTACCCAACAGATGCTCCCAAATAGTCAAAAGTAATCCAAAAATAGTCCCCCGGCTATTCTTTGACTGCCTTCGACTATCCCCCCTGTAGAGGGACACGCCTGACTCACTGTATAGGACAGAGGCAGCGCCCCAAAAGCCGTCGGAGGTCCGCGAGGCTCTCCGGAGCGCGCGCCCCGGGGTCTGCGCCTGGGCAGTCGCCGGGGGGCGCGTGGGGGATCTCCTGACCCGGGTCGATCCAGACCCGGGTCGATCGAGACCCGGGTTCACTTCGCTCGCCGAGCGAAGTGAACCCCACCCTCCCCCTCAGAAATCGTGGGGGGTAGGGGTAGGGCTCGCATGTGGCCCCCTAAACCTGCAACGCAGATCTTCGCAAACCCGGGTCAGCCAATATGTGCGGCCGCCTCGCGGCTCGCTAACCCGGGTCAGCCGGAGTGGGTCTTCGCCGGATCCTGTGGGATCCGGTGCCCTGGCTGACCCCCGCTTGCACTGACCCCCGTCTCTTAGGCCCCGAGCGCGGAGGGGGGGGGGGCAGCGCCGGGCCCAGAAGAAAAGCCGCGCGGGCCCGCCCAGAAATCCGCGCGGACCTGGGGACGATCTGCGCGCGGTGCCTCCTCGGTTCTCTTCGAGAGTGACTTCGGCTGCAGTCGGCCCGCATCACAAGGATGCGCGAGAAGGGTGCAAGGGCCGTGGACGCCCACGTCGAGGCTTTACGCGCGGGGCGCGGCCAACGAAAGCGGGCAGGGACGGGCCGAGGAGGCAAGCATTAAGTCGGACGTGTCCCCTACAGGGGGATTTTCGACGAACAACAAAAGATACTCAAACAAAAATACTCCCCAGACTACTTTTTACTATTTGTGAATTTTCCCCCTGTAGAGGGACAGGCCCGACTTAAGGCAAGGATGCAAGGGTACCCTTGCGAAGGTTGCCCATCCTTAGTACTATGCGGGCCGACTGTGCGCGCGAGAGTGGCCCTGGGCACGAGAGGCCCTTGGTGCGCGGAGGCAGGGGGCGTAAAGTGGCCCTAGCCCCAGTGCGCGAGCAGCCACGGTCGCAAGGCGCTCATGCGGGTCGGGGTTTTATCCATATCCACCGCCTGGGAACCGACGTCCTGGTGCCCCAGTGGGCGGTGGATATAGATCTATTTCGGCCCCCGAAGGCCCGAATATATCCATGTCCACCGCCTGTGGAGGTCCGCGAGGATAGATCCCCCAGGCGGTGGATATGGATAAATCTCCGCCTCGGAGCTCAGCGATCGTGGGGACCCGGATGAGCCATCAAACCAAAGGTCACTCCAGCGAAGGGTCACTCTTACGTGTCGTCGACGAATGCTCTCCATTCGGACGCCCAGACTGGGCACGGACAGGACAGGGTACGATGCCCATCGACGAATGCTGTCCAGAACCGCCAGCGGCCTCTGTTGGAAAAGCGGCTTGCTGTCTCGAGTGGCAAACGCCCGCGGCGACACCGACGGCGAGCCATGCGCACAGTGGACAGGGACGGCTGACGGCCTTCGTACCCACTCTTCCCGCATCCTTACCAGCCTCGAACGTATCCCTATCCCTAAGATTGACACGCCAAAAGGCGATGACGAGAGTTCATCCTAATGGTGAAATCAGACACCACGCAAAAACACCACGCAAATACACCACGCAAAAACACCACGTAAACGCTGGAGGGTGAATTAGACATCACGCAAATACACCACGCAAAAACACCACGCAAAAACACCACGTAGCGGTTTTGCGTGGTGTTTTTGCGTGGTGTTTTTGCGTGGTGTTTTTGTGCGCCGCTGGGGCGGCGCGGGGACGCAGTGGGGCAGGTCGCGGTTCACGTGGTGTGTTTTTGCGTGGTCTTTTTGCGTGGTGTATTTGCGTAGTGTATTTGTGCGTCGCTGGGGCGGCGCGGGGACGCAGTGGGGCAGGTCGCGGTTCGCGCGGCGTGTTTGTTTGTTCTGCGCGGTGTTTTTGCGCGGTGTATTTGCGTGGTGTTTTTGTGCGCCGCTTGGGCGGCGCGGGGACGCAGTGGGGAAGGTCGCGGTTCACGTGGTGCTTTCGCGTGGTGTTTTTGCGTGGTGTTTTTTGGCACCGCTGTGGCGGCGCCGGAGCGCCGTGGGACAGGTCGCGGTTCACGTGGTGTGTTTTTGCGTGGTGTTTTTGCGTGGTGTATTTGCGTGGTGTATTTGCGCGCCGCTGGGGCGGCGCGGGGACGCAGTGGGGCAGGTCGCGGTTCACGCGGCGTGTTTTTCCGCGTGGTGTTTTTGCGTGGTGTTTTTGCGTGGTGTATTTGCGTGGTGTTTTTGCGCACCGCTGTGGCGGCGCCGGAGCGCCGTGGGACAGGTCGCGGTTCACGTGGTGCTTTTTGTTTTGCTATGCGTGGTGTTTTTGCGTGGTGTTTTTTGCGTGGTGTATTTGCGTGGTGTTTTTGTGCGCCGCTGGGGCGGCGCGGGGACGCAGTGGGGAAGGTCGCGGTTCACTTGGTGCTTTTGCGTGGTGTTTTTGCGTGGTGTTTTTTTGCACCGCTGTGGCGGCGCCGGAGCGCCGTGGGACAGGTCGCGGTTCACGTGGTGTGTTTTTGCGTGGTGTTTTTGCGTGGTGTATTTGCGTGGTGCATTTGTGCGCCGCAGGGGGCGGCGCGGGGACGCAGTGGGGCAGGTCGCGGTTCACGCGGCGTGTTTTTCTGCGTGGTGTTTTTGCGTGGTGTTTTTGCGTGGTGTTTTTGCGTGGTGTATTTGCGTGGTGTTTTTGCGCACCGCTGTGGCGGCGCCGGAGCGCCGTGGGACAGGTCGCGGTTCACGTGGTGCTTTTTGTTTTGCTATGCGTGGTGTTTTTGCGTGGTGTTTTTGCGCGGTGTATTTGCGTGGTGTTTTTGTGCGCCGCTGGGGCGGCGCGGGGACGCAGTGGGGAAGGTCGCGGTTCACGTGGTGCTTTTGCGTGGTGTTTTTGCGTGGTGTTTTTTTGCACCGCTGTGGCGGCGCCGGAGCGCCGTGGGACAGGTCGCGGTTCACGTGGTGTGTTTTTGCGTGGTGTTTTTGCGTGGTGTATTTGCGTGGTGTATTTGTGCGCCGCTGGGGCGGCGCGGGGACGCAGTGGGGCAGGTCGCGGTTCACGCGGCGTGTTTTTCTGCGTGGTGTTTTTGCGTGGTGTTTTCGCGTGGTGTATTTGCGTGGTGTTTTTGCGCACCGCTGTGGCGGCGCCGGAGCGCCGTGGGACAGGTCGCGGTTCACGTGGTGCTTTTCGTTTCGCTATGCGTGGTGTTTTTGCGTGGTGTTTTTGCGCGGTGTATTTGCGTGGTGTTTTTGCGCGCCGCTGGGGCGGCGCGGGGACGCAGTGGGGAAGGTCGCGGTTCACGTGGTGCTTTTGCGTGGTGTTTTTGCGTGGTGTTTTTTTTGCACCGCTGTGGCGGCGCCGGAGCGCCGTGGGACAGGTCGCGGTTCACGTGGTGTTTTTGCGTGGTGTTTTTGCGTGGTGTATTGGCGTGGTGCATTTGCGCGCCGCTGTGGCGGCGCAAACGACCCGCCCCACGGCGCTCCGACGCCGCTCCAGCGGCGCACGCAAACACCACGCAAAAAACACCACGCAAAAACACCACGCAAAAACACCGCGTAAACCGCGACCTGCCCCACGGCGCTCCGGCGCCGCTCCAGCGGCGCACGCCAACACCACGCAAAGACACCACGTAAACCGCGACCTGCCCCACGGCGCTCCCGCGCCGCTCCAGCGGCGCACGCAAACACAACACAAAAACACAACGTAAACCGAGACCTGCCCCACTGCGCCCCCGCGCCGCTCCAGCTGCGCACGCAAACACCACGCAAAACACACACAACGTAAACCGAGACCTGGCGGCGCACGCAAACACAGCGCAAACACACCACGTAAACCGCGACCTGCCCCACGGCGCCCCTACGCCGCTCCAGCGACGCACGCAAACACCACGCAAAAACACCACGTAAACCGCGACCCGCCCCACGGCGCCCCGACGCCGCTCCAGCGACGCACGCAAACACCACGCAAAGACACCACGTAAACCGCGACCCGCCCCACGGCGCTCCCGCGCCGCGCCAGCGGCGCACACACACGCAAATACACCACGCAAATACACCACGCAAAAACACCACGCAAATACACCACGCAAAAACACCACGGCTATTTCACCGTTAAGAAATTCTATTTCACCATTAAGAAATTCTATTTCACCATTAAGAAATTCTATTTCACCATTAAGAAATTCTATTTCACCATTAAGATTTCTATTTCACCATTAAAACTCTTATTTCACCATTAGGAGAAACCGTTGGCGATGACAATCTTGGGGATGCACCCACAGAAAATAAGGGGAGCCCTAAGATTGGCATCGTGACGAGGAGATGCCCAGCATAGGGATAGGGATATGTTCCAGGCTGGTAAGCATCCATTGCGATCGCTCGGGCGTCGCTTCGTGGCGGGGCAGGGGCGAAGGAGCGTGCACCCTTCGTGCCCCTTCCTGGGGCCTCGCATCACCCCCCCCCATTTGCGCTGCCAGACTGTGACCATCTCCACTGCTGCTGTGTCGTGCTCCTGAGGGCTCGGGGAGCGGCGGATGCGCATATCTGCCCGCCCACGCGGGCGAGCAGACATCCGCATCCACCGCTCCTCTAGGTCCAAAGGGCACGGCTCCGAAGCGGCGGACGTGGACATCTTCTGGCGGTGGGCCGTTGCCCAACGTCCGAACTGTGCCGAGTGGATGCTTGAGCAAAGACCGACCGTCCCGGCATTCCTATAGTCCTACCACGACATGTTCTCAGAACCCCAAAGTGTTCTAAGAACAAAAACAATGTTCTTAGAACAGAACACCGACGTGTGACAAAACAAGACAGTCCCAACCAGAAATGCTCGAACAACATGTCGTGGGAACCGCAAAAGGTTCTTGGAACATGGTTTGGTAGGGCGCTTCAGATGCCCTCCGGCCTCCACTCGAGGCCTGTCACCGACACCCTCGCCGGCCCCGGCCCGCCGCCGCCGCCGCCCCGCGCCTGGAGGGCGCAGGCCTCCAGCACCTGCGCGCGGGAGCACGAGTGATCGACGCGGGGGCCCCCACGCGTGCACCAGCGCCTGCGCCCCCCATTCCTCCTCCTCCTCCTTCTCCGGTTCCTCCTCTTCTTCCTCCTCCTCCTCCTCCGTCCGTAGCCATTTTGGCTCAAGCACATGGGGCCCAAGGGGCGTAGATCCTTGTGGCTCGAGCGCGTCATGGGCCCTGCCCCGCCGCCTCATCGCGGCGTGCTTGTGGCTATCCGCACCTTTTGTCTTCTTTCTTGAGGAGTGGATCGGCCAAGGGCGGGGCGAAGTGTTGCAGTCAGGCTTCATTCAATTTTCTTTTTTGTTCTGCCAAGGTCCTGTGCGATTGTATTTGTTGGTGATTCTCAAGCGAATCGGCTGTCGTGAGCAGGATGGTTTGGGTTTCTTCTCCGCTTTCCTGTGCACATTCTTCATTGTCCGTCTCGGGTGCGGGGCCCATGGGGGGAGCCTGGCTGTGCACTAACCCACCCGCCCGCACCCGAGCGTACGATTTCAAGCTGGCGGGCCACGTTTCGAGGGACCTGAGGATGCAGAGGGTGTGGGAGTCATCGTTCTTTACGGTTGGTGCCGGCCTCATCGCATGCAATAATGGTGAAGGTCGCGGCAATGTTTGTGTTCAGTCGGTTTGGCTTCAGAGCTACACATTTCGGCGCACAGGCTTCCTTGTCAATGTGCTCGTGCTGCCATGGTGCTGCATCGCTGGAGGTATGGGCGTCGTCGTGTCTGTATTCTGCGTGTCGAGGGACCTGAGGGTGCAAGGGTTGTTCCAATCATCTTTGTATTGTGGCGCTGTCCTTTTAGCATTCAATAATGGTGAAGCACGCGGTTTATTGTTTCGGCATCATACACTCAAGTCGGCGTGCTGTCTCACTTGTCAGCGTAATTACTCCAGATGTCGTAATAAAAGGGATGGGGTCTGGACCCTCCAAGACAAGCCATTTCAGACCTCCCCCGTGGGAGAACCCTCCAAAACGTCGTCCCCAGACCCCCCAGGCCCTCCAAGATAGCCTGGAAGAGACCCCCCCCCGAAATGAGACCCCCCTCCCTTTATTACGAAATCTGGAGTAAAGTTCGCGCACGCGGGTACAATCTTTTGTATTGCTATTGTGGGGCTGTCTGTGGAGGAGGCGATCCCCTTTGGGGGTTGCCCGATGACCAGTGGTGCGTTACACATCATTGATGAATGGGCCGCATCGAGCCGATTTCACCTCAGCTGAACTTGTGTCAATCTCTATGGTTGTGGTCGTGCACGTCTTCCACCATTCCCTCTTCTACGTGGAGATGGTCAGTGGGTGGTTCCATTGTGAAGACTTCGTCTCATGGTCATGCTCATGCTCATGCTCCTCCTCCTCCTCCTCCTCCTCCTCCCTCCCTCCCTCCCTCCCTCCCCCTCCCTCCCTCCCTCTCTCCCTCCCTCCCGTCCACCGCCCCTGGCCGCGCCGACACCGGGCGCAGGACCTGGACAGGTCCCCGCACGCCCCTGTCTCGGCGCCAGAGCACAGAAGCGCCTCTGGGTGCGAGCGGGTCCGGGTGCGAGTTGCCGAGCGCGGGTGGGCCTGCAACGGAGCGACTGGGCGTGAATGCGTCTGGGTGCGAGCGCGGCCGCACCGAAGCCAGGCGACTCCAGGTAGGAGCGGGCTGGAGTGCGACTAGATCGGAACAGGAGAACATCTGAATATTCGTGGGCGGGATCCTGCCACCTTGGCGCCCGCGAGGTCCCGCAGTCTGGGCGCGAGCGGGCGCGCGGCACATCCCTGGCAGGCCCCCCCTTGGCCTGGCAGGCCCAGGTGCCATACCTGCTGCATCGCGATTGCCCTGGGGCTCTGGAAAGACAGACGTCTGCCCCGCAAGATCGGCACTTCCCCCTGAGATGCCCCCCCGCAGTCTGGGCGCGAAGGGGCCCGCGAAGCTGCCCAGGTCGGCTCCCCACCTGGGACGCCTCAAACAAATCTCACTGCACGCTGCAGAACCACGGCGACGCGGGCCCAGGAGGGCGCACGCGCGGGGAACGCACGATGGGGACCCGGGTCCTTGCTTGCCCCCGGCGCCTGGTCGAGCTCGGCGCGGTCGCCTGCGATTTGGCACGGCGAAAAAACAGCTGGTCCGGAGGATCGGCGGCGAGCGAGGGGGGGAAAAGACCCTGACGTCCTGGCGACTCGACTCTTTTCGAGCCGGGCGTTCTCGCCCAATTTCGGGACCCGGGCGGGACCCGGGAGCCTCACAGATCGATCCGGCTCGAAAAACTGACGCGGAAAGATTTGGTCCGGGGCTCCGTTCGTGACTTTTCACGGTGCTGCAGTTTTTGTTCTGCAACCTCGGATCTCGGGGGAGAAGGAGGAGGCCTTCTCAGAAGGCGGCGGGGCTTCTCAGAAGGCCTCGGGCCCTCCGAGAGAAGCCTTCGGCGTCCTCGGGGAAGGCGTGCAGTGAGCAGGGACCGACCGTCCCGGCATTCCTCTAGTCCTACCACGAACTGGTCTTAGAACCCAAACATGCCGCAAGAACAGAAGCATGAGTCTTAGAAGACCTGAACCCACTGGGTTCGAACAAGACAAGTCTTACTCCAGATTTCGTAATAAAAGGGAGGGGGTCTGGACCCTCCAAGACAAGCCATTTCAGACCTCACCCGTGGGAAAACCCTCCCAAACATCGTCCCTAGACCCCCCAGGCCCTCCAAGATAGCCTGGAAGAGACCCCCCCCGAAATGAGACCCCCCTCCCTTTATTACGAAATCTGGAGTAGCCAGACATGCTCTAAGAACGTTCTCTGGTGGGCTTAGAGGCGAGCCACGACGCTTCGCCACTGCCGGAGTGCAGGGAGCTGCCCAGAGGGCCGGCAGAACTTCCGCACCTGCAAAAGAGGGCCCGGCCACCCCCCTCCGCTCGCTGCCCTGGCCGCCGAGAGGAGCGCTGGATCTCTGGACCCGGGGCCCTCCCCCCGTGGCCCCTGACCTCCCCGTGGTCCGCCTCGAACCTCGACAGGAAGTGGGACGTCGACGTCCTGGTGCTACTGTGTAGCCCCTCTTGGGAGGTCGGGGTGGGCCCTGGTGCTAATTTTGTGGCCCTCCTGGAAAGTCGGGGCGGGCCCTGGCCACCGAGTGGAACGCTGGATCTCTGGACCCGGGGTCCTCCCCCCGTGGCCCCTGGCCTCTCATTGTGCTGCAAAATAACACTCCAGATCTCTGCCTCAAACCTCGACAGGAATTCGGACGTCGACGTCCCATTTGGTGACCCAAGAGGGGGTCCAGCTGAAAGGGGGTGGTGCAACAGGTTTGGGGCAATTGTATTGCAAATGTGCTGTGCCGGAGACTTGCGTTGCATTGCATTGCAAGTAGCGTATCACACGCGGAAATGCAGCAATACGTTTGCGCCCCGACATGTATCGCACGCCCCAAACCTATTGCAACCCCGCAAATCTACTTCACCAGATCTATTGCACCAGCCCCTTGTCGCTGGACCCCCTCGTGGGTCAACGCGAATCCTGGTGCTGTTCTTAAATCGGGCCTGTCCCCCTACATGGAATTTTCGACGAACAATAAAAAATACCCCCAAAATAATTAAACAATAGTGCAAAAGTAGTCTGGGGATTATTTTTGACTATTTTTCCAAATTGTTGGTGCATTTTTGGGGTATTTCTGGGGCATTTCTTATTTTTCGTCGAAAATCCCCCTGTAGGGGGACACGCCCGACTTAGGGCTATTCTTTGGCCCTCCTGGAAGATTGGGGTGGGCCGCGGCCGCCGAGCGGAGCGCGGGACCTCTGGGGCCCGGGGCTCTCCCCCCGCGGCCAGCCTCCCCGCCCCGAGTCTGAGGTCGGGCGTGTCCTCTGCCGGGCGCATCTTGGACAAGAAAGACAAACACGTAGTCGAACATCTGCAAGCATATTGAAACAAAAAAGACAACAGCCATCGCCCCCAGGCAATTGGCTTGACTTGTTTTGAACATTCCTCTCGTAGAGGGGCAGGCCCGACTTGACCCGAGTCGCCCTCTTCGGCGCAGGGCGAGGGGAGACGCCGGCAGCTCCGCAGCGGCTTCTCGACGTCTCTCGGGGCCCAAGGAGCGCGCCAGTCCCTGAGAAGATCCCGGCGGCCGACTTCTTCACAACGGGCGCCTTCGCCTCGTTTCGGGCCCCGGGGCCCTGCACAGACGAAGGCGGCCCGAAGAGTGGCGCAGAAGGATGGGGTCCGGGGCTCCGGTCGTTTTCACGATGTTGCAATTTTTTCGCAACGTCGGATCTCAGGGGGCTTCCGAGCTGCGCTGAGTATCGTTTGACCGATCCCCGTCCCCAGCGGCGTGGCCTGGGCCACACTGGCCGATCTGCCCCCCTGCATGGGGACATGGGTCGTCCCCTTCGGGCTTCGAGGCTTCGAGGGGTGCATCCCCAACCAGGGAGGTGCTTTGTTGGGGGTCTCGAAGGGGATGGGGATGGGTCGGGGGTTGCTACAGGTACCCCTGGTCCAAGGTGCCCCCAGCTTTTCGCTCAATTCTGGGCCCCCTGGAACCCTCTGGGCCTCGTGAGGAGTGTTCTGAGGCCATGGAGGGCCTCCTTGGAAATCCTGGGGGCACCTTGGGCCAGGGGCACTTCTAGCAACATCCGAATGGGGATGGGGATGGGTCGAACGGTGCCGAGCGGCGGGAGGCCCTCCCCCCCCAAAAAGGCCAGTGGCCCAGGCCTCTCACGCGCTCGCCCTCTCCTCTGTGGCGTGTGTCCGGCGGCGCCCCCTGGGCCTGGGGAGGGCCTCCGTGTGCAGGGGGGGCCGGGAAGGAAGGGCGCAGGGGACCCCCATGGGGGGCCCGTCTGACTGGGGGAGGGAGCAGGGGGGGGGGCCGTCTGACTGGGGGAGGGCGGAGGTACAGTGAGGTCGGGCCTGTCCCCCTAAAGGGGGATGTTCGACGAAAAATAAAAAAGTACCCCCAAAAAATAATCAACAAATAATCCAAACATAATCTGGGGACTTGTTGTTTGAATATGTGTTTGCCTTTTTG